TGATATCTCCGGAAAATTTTTTGGTATGTTCGGAAAATTTTTTGAGATGACCTCCCCCCCCCCCCCCCCCGTCGCCAACATTTCCGGGAAAAATTTTTAAATGCCCTTTTTATTCGAAAAGTGCCCTCAAAGCCTGCCCCTACGCCCCTGGTTTTAATGTCGTCATGCTTCCTACGCCCCTGGTTTTAATGTCGTCATCACAACGTTGAAAAGTCATTGAGCCCTTACTGGATTTTGTAAATTTAAATTTGCTGAAATTGTACATGACACTATACAACAATGGCGCGTGGTTGTTTCACTATAAAGTGTAATTTATTTTCCATTAATTACATTCTTTTGCGATTGATCATATTTTCAGATTGTATATGGACCAGGGGGGTTTCCCAATTCCTTAGAAAACAACTTTGCTTGCAAATTTGAACATGCAATATGACACTAAAAGCAGGAAATAAAGTGCGGTCGCCTCTTTGTGTTCTGTAAACAATTCCATCATCATGGACGGACTGCTTGTTTTTTGGTATATTTGTTTGACAGTTTACCATATAGCTGATTCTGTCTGTGACTGGATCAGCTGGTACCATTTTAAGGATTCAAATCCTGGTAGAGATAACATACTGGCGGCAACCACTCTGTGCGGTACCATGTTTAACTTGTGGTTTCTGTATCGTTTATTCAACGCTCTTTGCAAGGTCCAACCACCTGATATTGGCCGGAAAATCAACGTCTCAACAGTTCTCTTGCGCGAGCTGAATTTTTCTGTGCTAGAGGGAGTAGTGAATATGTTTCAGGTCGGCCTTGGCAACGATATTATATCCTCCAAATTTGGCACTGTAAGAAGCTGCCTCGATTCTATGGATTTTATATTTGCATGCTGTTGCAGTTGTGGCGCTGTTATGCAGTGCGTTTGCTTTGCAAAGAACCTGCGCGGCTGTCATGGAAAGAGGGATAATTACTACGGTCAAGAGGAGAAAGATGTAAACTTTTTCGGCCTTGTTTTGTCCTTTATTTCTGCGCTCATTGGGATTGGCTCTATCGCTTATGCGCAAGAATTACAAAGTTGTTGAGACTCCTGGATATATGTATATACCGTAAACCTCCGACTATACCCTGGGCTTATATACTTTCGTAAGCGATTTTTGATGGGCTTATACAACAAGGGGGGGGCTTATATACGGGTGGGCTTATACATAGACGTTTTTTTGTGTTAGTAATAAACAAGTCAGTCATAAACAGGGAAATATACGTGTCAATTAAGCAGCGATTACTGGGCTTATATTAATTGGGGAACTTATATTCGGGGGAATTACATACAGGGGGGGGGGGCTTACATTTGGATTGAGGGGAGCGTTAGTACATGTGG